CGTGTAGTATTATCATATTGAATTCATTTTTCATCGCAAGTAAGGATTTCATCGTAAAACCTAGTATTTTTTATCAAACGAACATCAAAAATCAAACGAACAAATCCCCAGTGACACGAGTAGCTTTATTGGCATCGCTCAGGCACAGGCTCAGGCACAGGCTCAGGCACAGGCTCAGGCACAGGCTCAAGCACAGGCTCAGGCTCAGGCCCAGACACAGGCTTAGGCACAGGCTTAGGCACAGGCTCAGGCACAGGCTCAGGCTCAGGCACAGGCTCAGGCACAGGCTCAGGCTCAGGCACAGGCTCAAGCACAGGCTCAGGCTCAGGCCCAGACACAGGCTTAGGCACAGGCTTAGGCACAGGCTCAGGCACAGGCTCAGGCTCAGGCACAGGCTCAGGCACAGGCTCAGGCTCAGGCACAGGCTCAAGCACAGGCTCAGGCTCAGGCCCAGACACAGGCTTAGGCACAGGCTTAGGCACAGGCTCAGGCACAGGCTCAGGCACAGGCAGACAGGCACAGGCTCCCTTGTCGCCTTGTTTTCTCCAATTGATGCTCTGCAATTGTTTGAGGGATTACTCTAAATATTTCGGCAAGTTCACGTGTAGTTTGTCGAAGATTAATTTCGATCGCCTGCTTCAGGATTATCGATCGCTTGCATTGGATTATCGATTGTAGGAGGCCGTCGTTGGTTGTCCTCATCTTCCAAAGATTCATTTCCTTCCTCGTTGAAACCAAATCGTTGAAACCATCGTCGACACTGACTTTCCGGAAATAGCATCTTCCCCAAATACTTTGCAGAAATCTCAATTTCCTCCCAAAATCTCTAATTTCTTCCCAAAATCTCTAATTTCCTCCCAAAATCTCTAATTTTTTAGCCAAAAATTCATCATACAGTACTCAGGAGCTATGCTTTTGAAAGTTTACAGAAAAATCCCCAAAAATTACCGTAAATACTGTAATTGGACCCCACCCTCTAATAGTACCCCTCTAATAGTACCCCACCCTAGAGGGGGAGGGAAAAAATAATACCCCACCCCTCTAATAGTACCCCACCCCACCTAACGCGTAATTACAAACAACGCTTTTAAAGCGGAAAATTTTCATGTATTTTCAGAAATCGTTTGTATTTTTAATTTTATCCCATAAATTTGTTGTTTTTAAATTTGGGCTGGCTACTTTGCGCCAAATTTTTTGCACAGCTTGCCATAACTTTCTTCTAAGTGGGCCAAGCTTTACGATTGTAGATCTCAACAAGTGCAACAAAGTAACACCAAAATCATAAAGATTGGCCCACTTAGAAGACTTGAACCACTTAGAAGACTTGAACCACTTAGAAGCCACTTGAACTCGGAGGGGATTGATATCGGTTTGGCTGAATGGATCGTCGAGCCGAGAAGAAACGAGTGACACGCCGGATTATCTGGAATGAAGCGGCTAATCGATTCGAAAAAGCTGAAATTTCTTTCAAAAGAAGCCATGGCTGGATGGAGTCGTTCTTGAGGCGCCACCAACTTTCTTTGAGGGCACCAACAACAACTTGTCAAAAGCTGCCGAGCGAATTTGAGAAGGCCATCGTCAAGCACATTTTGAGGCTGAACAAGACAATCGAAGAAGGCGATTACAAGCACATTGTTGATTGCGATGAGACGGCGGTTTGGCTGGATGCTTCGACGGGCAAGTGCATCCAAGCGGTTGGAGCCAACGAAGTTGGTGTTCTCACCCGCGGCTACGACAAGATGAATATATCCGTGATGTTCACTGCTCGTTCTGATGGGAAAAAGTTGCGCCCTTTTGTCGTGGTGCCTCGGAAGACGATGAACAAAAAATCGAGACAAAGTTCCAATCGAAGTTATTGCTCTGTTCGAAAGCGAAGAAAAGCAAGTACATCGATAACGAGATCACGGCGAAATATTTGCAACGCTCTTTCGGTGGACTGGTCTTTAATCTATTGTACTTACAGGCGATGAGAAATGCTCGGACAGAGGCAGAAATCGAGGACCTCTTGGAACCGCTTGCATCAACGCGACTTCAAGGACATCGAGGAATTGATGAGCAAGAAAATGATGAATTCATTGATTCAGATGTTTCTATTGATTTAGCTTGTTAGTTGGTTTTGTTTCGTTTTGCTGTGAAATTTTCAAATGGTTAAAACCAATAAAAACTAAAGTACAAGTTGGCTTTTGAACAAATTATTTAAATGTATCCTGATTTGGTAACTTGCATAGTGGTGTAAAATAGTAACCCACCCTCTAATAGTGCCCCACCCTCTAATAGTACCCCACCCTAGAGGGGAGGGAAAAATAGTACCCCATGGGGTCCAATTACAGTATTTACGGTACCTGAAAATATCACAAGAACGCTCAAAAACTGATCAAAAACGCTCAAAAACTGATCAAAGACGCACAAAAACCACTTTTTCACATTTCCCTAGTCTCTGAATTCTCTTAAAACCAAAAGAAGCCTCTATATATCTCAAAAATCTTCAATATCACCAATAAAAACCTTCGCAAACCAAAAAACAAAACTTTTTACTCAAAAAAAAACGCGAAAATGATCTCGGGCGGGATCGAACCGCCGACCTTCTGTGTGTTAGACAGATGTGATAACCACTACACCACGAGACCGATGAGGGAGGGCGGCGGGAAAGGGGTTTCGTGGGCATGACCTTCAAAGAAGGAGAAAGATTGGCACTTTGAAGAGAAGTTAGAGAAAAAAAGGCTTATTTTGAAGAAATTCGAGAAAATCTTGGATTGGCGCTTTAAAATGTGGTAAAACTACCGTACCCCTCCTAAAAAAGACAAGGCGAAATTTCATTTTTTTCATTTTTTTTCATTTTTTTCATTCTTCTTCATCTTATTTTATTTTTTTTGCGTTTTTCTGATGTAATCGCGTTTGTTTTTGCAGGAAACAAAGAGGATAAAGCTAATTTACGTTTTTATTGGAACCATATTGGGGCGTGGGACAAATGCGACCTTTTTTTTGCGCACCTGGACATTTGCGCACCTTTTTTTTGCTGGAAAAGGCCTTAGGAAAGGTCGTAGAGCTTCGAAAATATTTCCATATAAGGGAATCGTATGCGTAGATTCCGAATTTCGACAAATCAGACCTCGCTGACAAGTCAAATTTGGGCTAAAAGGCAAAAACTACGCAACTTAACGCTTTTCCCCAGCTTTTGCCTTTTAACCCAAATTTGACGTGTCAGCGAGGTCTGATTTGTCGAAATTCGGAATCTACGCATACGATTCCCTTATATGGAAATATTTTCGAAGCTCTACGACCTTTCCTTTTCCAGCAAAAAAAAGGTCGCATTTTTCCCACCCCCATATTGGAACCATATTGGAATCGTATCCGAACCATATTGGAACCATATTGGAATAGAAAATCTTGGATTGACGCTTTAAAGTGTGGTAAAACTACCGTACCCCTCCTAGAAAAGACAAGGCGAAATTCCATTTTTTTTCATTCTTGTTCATTTCATTTTTTTTCATTCTTCTTCATTTTATTTTATTTTTTTGCGTTTTTCTGATGTAATCGCGTTTGTTTTTGCAGGAAACAAAGAGGATAAAGCTAATTTACGCTTTTAACAGCATTTTCTATGGCGGAAGCTTTGTTTGTAGGGTTTTTTAGACCCACTTGCTTCCTTTTAGATCTGCTCTACGAACTTGATGCCAACAAATGTTAAGTTAAGTGGTTTTTATCAGTTTCTATTTTCTTGTTTTTAGTTTTTAGACCACTTGCCTCCTTTTAGGTCTGCTCTACGAACTTGATGCCAACTAATGTTAAGTTAAGTGGTTTTTATCAGTTTCTATGGCGGGTTTTTGTTTTTAGTTTTTGAGACCACTTGCCTCCTTTTAGGTCTGCTCTACGAACTTGATGCCAACTAATGTTAAGTTAAGTGATTTTTATCATTCCGTATTAAGTTAAGTGGTTCTTTTCCAATATCGGGGAGCGGAAGGATTATCGGGGAGCGAAAGGAAAATCGGGGGAGCAAATTTTGGCACGCTACATATGTCCTATATTATACAAACTACCGCCAAAAATCCGCGAATTACCCGTTATTCTCACAACCTTTATATTAGATTTATATTAGCGAAATAGATCTTTTCCCTTTGAGCGGACTTTCATCGATTCGCCACAATTGCAAATCCACGACTGGATGACTCCTTTGGTGACGAAATAATCGATTGCTGTCGATTCCTTGAACCACAAATATCGGAGAAGGCGCAACGTCGTTAAAGTTTGAAAAAAACGTTGCAGTTAAAGTATAGTCCCGGAAATGCATTTTCGAGGGGCAAAATTTGCTCCCCGATTTTCCTTTCGCTCCCCCGATAATCGGACCGCTCCCCCGATATTGGAAAAGTACCAGTTAAGTGGTTTTTATCATTTTCTATGGCGGAAGCTTTGTTTGTAGAGTTTTTTTTGAGACCCACTTGCTTCCTGATGATCTGCTTCACAAACTTGATGCCAACAAATGTTAAGTTAAGTGGTTTTTATCATTTTCTATGGCGGAGGCTTTGTTTGTAGAGTTTTTTTGAGACCCACTTGCTTCCTGATGATCTGCTCCACGAACTTGATGCCAACTAATGTTAAGTTAAGATTTTAAAGGCATTTAACTAATTAGACATTTTAAAACCATCATTCTCAATAATTTATTCAAAATTTCAGCGAAAAGTGATTTCAAAGCCGACCGGTGGCAAAAAAGCAAACAAAAAATCAAATTTTGAAAAAAAAAATCGTTTTTTAAGCAATTATCAGCTATTTTCTTTGATCAAATGATAAAATAAGCGTAAAATTTTAAAGCAACAGGGTTTTTTTTTGAAAAGAAAAAGTGAAAAAAATGCCCGTATTCTTTGCGAGGAGCGAGAAAAAGCGAAATTAATCTTGAAATCTTGAATATAGCAAAAATTTTGCAAAAAAAAAGATGAAAACCTGCTCCTTTATCACAATATTTTCTTGAATTTGATATGTTTTTTTTTTCAAATTCGATAATCCATCTATTCCTTGACGTAATTGCTCGGAAATAGCCCGACTTGTGTCCCGACTTTCCCTTGCCACCAGCCAGAATCGTCTGAAATTGGAAACCTTAATGCTTTTTTAGTTTTGTGGTTTTTTTAACGAATACGGTGAATTTTCATAAGCTTTTTAGCATTTTAAACTTTCAGCTACTTTCAGCTGAGCCTTAGCCTGAGTCTGAGCCTTGTCCTGGACCTGAGCCTTGTCCTGGAGCTGAGCCTTGTCCTGGACCCGAGCCTTGTCCTGGATCTGAGCCTTGTCCTGGACCTGAGCCTTGTCCTGGACCTGAGCCTTGTCCTGGACCTGAGCCTTGTCCTGGAGCTGAGCCTTGTCCTGGACCCGAGCCTTGTCCTGGATCTGAGCCTTGTCCTGGATCTGAGCCTTGTCCTGAGTCTGAGCCTGAGCCTGAGCCTGAGCCAGTTTAGGCGTAGGTTAGGTTTAGCTTAGGCTTACGAGGGAATGGTCTTGACTTAAAGCAGGGAATCGATCCGAAACCAAGTGGACCTTATAGAATCGGCAACGGAGATTCATAATCTGCAAAAATTAGCTGCCAACTCGACCTGGATCCCGAGATATTTAGTTCTATAAGGTTCACTTGGTTTCGGATCGATTCCCAACTTTGAGTTGAGACCATTGCCTCTAGGCTTGGCTTAGGCTTAGCTTAGGCTTAGCTTGGGTTTAGCTTGGGTTTAGCTTGGGTTTAGCTTGGGTTTAGCTTAGGCTTAGGCCGATTCTTCTGTACCTAGGGTCATCTTTTGACAAGTTAACCGACTAGTACTTCTTCGGTACTTTGTTCAGAACCGATTAGTACTTTGTTCAGAACACTTTTTTGTCTAGTCTACAATCTTATTCACTCACGCTTCTGCACGAGTTCAATCTCTTGTCCAATTTCGAAGCTCAGCTCATCTGTATCCTGTGCATCATATGCGTAAAGAGCGGTGACTGTTGGGAGAAGTTTTGGCTTTACTGGGGGACGAGGTTTGTTTGGACGAGGCGCAGGGCGAACCTGGAAATGGGAAAATTTAAATAATTGGATAATTCTATAGTTAATTAAATGATTTTATAGCTAATTAAATAATTCTATATCTAATTAAACAATTCTATATCTTTTTAAGCCTCTTTCTCATCTCATTTTTGGCTGTGAGATAGCTGTCCTGAAAGATTTTGAACGTTAAGTTAGAACGTACTGTAAGTTAGAACGTACTGTTAGAACGTACTGTTAGAACGTACTGTTAGAACGTACTGTTAGAACGTACTGTTAGAACGTACTGTTTAAAACGTACTGTAAGTTAGAACGTACTGTGAGCTAGAACGTACTGTAAGTTGGAACGTACTGTAAGTTAGAGCGTACTGTAAGCTAGAGCGTACTCTAAGCTAGAACGTACTGTTAGAACGTACTGTAAGTTAGAACGTACTGTTAGAACGTACTGTTAGAACGTACTGTTAGAGCGTACTGTAAGTTAGAACGTACTGTGAGCTAGAACGTACTGTAAGTTGGAACGTACTGTAAGTGAGAGCGTACTGTAAGCTAGAGGTACTCTAAGCAGAACGTACTGTGTTAGAACGTACTGTTAGAACGTACTGTTAGAACGTACTGTAAGCTAGAACGTACTGCAAGTTAGAACGTACTGTTAGAACGTACTGCAAGTTAGAACGTACTGTTAGAACGTACTGTAAGTTAGAACGTACTGTTAGAACGTACTGTTAGAACGTACTGTAAGTTAGAACGTACTGTTAGAACGTACTGTTAGAACGTACTGTTAGAACGTACTGTAAGCTAGAACGTACTGTAAGTTAGAACGTACTGTTAGAACGTACTGCAAGTTAGAACGTACTGTAAGTTAGAACGAACTGTTAGAACGTACTGTAAGTTAGAACGTACTGTAAGTTAGAACGTACTGTAGGTCAGAGCGTACTGTAAGTTGGCCAGTATTTAGAGACTCAAAAAGCTCTGTACGTTGAGTTCAAAGTACGCGAAAGGTTTTTTTTCCTCACCGCATTTGTCGGCTGCAATTGTTGCTGTCCAATGTTGAGCCCAGCCAATGGAGTTGCAATTCCACCAATCGATGGCCCAGTGACTCCAGATCCATTGGCATTCTTGTGCCCGCCATGAGCTGGCGCTGCTGGAGCGGTGGAGTCTAAAAGCCTCCAGTTATAGAAGTGAATTATAGAACCAGTTATAGAACTGAAAAGTGATGTACTTCGTTTCCGGGATTTCTAAGGTTTTAGGGTTGAAACTATTCTAATCTTTTAGTCAATTGTCAACTAGCTATAATAGCCTGCTTACTGTAGGGTTGCTGTAGCTCGAACAGTTGTCTAGCCTGACCCTAGACCAGGTCTAGCTTTTTGAAACAGCGCCAGCTACTGTAATCCTGTCTTACTCAACTCTAACGTCGATGTCTAAAGACGTCTAAAAACCTCTAAAAACGTATAAAAACACTTTACCAAACTATGTATGAATTAGCATTAGAGGATTAGATTTTTATGAATTACTGTAGGATTATTGTAGAACTATTGTAGCCAAATCACTAAAACTCACATCCGCTTCTTCTCGGCTCCACCTCGTACTCATTGACGCCCAGCGAGCTTGGTGGGCTGAAATGAGGATTGAGGAATCTATTGACTACAATCTATCAACTACAATCAATTGACTACAATCTATAGACTACAACCAATTGACTACTATTGACTACAATCAATTGACTATCAATTGACTAAATCTCCTTACATCTAGATTTATCATCTAAATATCTACTTATTCTGATACCCAGCCGCCATTCCCATTTGTGGCTGCGCCGGTCGACTGGGCGCTTTCTTCGTCGATCGTCTACCCTGCGTCTGACGCTGGTATCCGCCTTCAGGACGCGTCGTTCGGGGTCCTTAAATGTGAAATTTTTAAATCCCATACACTTATCCATATCTTTATCTATCTACCTAAATATCTAGTTACTTTTTTTTAAAATCGGAAAACCAGAGATCATTGAAACGTATCGAAATAGTATCCGTATTGGAACCGTATTGGATCTAAAAAGAACCCTATTGGAGCCGTATTGGAACCGTATTGGAACCGTATTGGATCTAAAAAGAACCCTATTGGAACCGTATTCGAACCGTATTGGAACCGTATTGGAACCGTATTCGAACCGTATTGGATCTAAAAAGAACCCTATTGGAACCGTATTGGAACCGTATTGGAACCGATTCGAACCATATTGGACAAAAAGAACCCTATTGGAACCGTATTGGAACCGTATTCGAACCGTATTCGAACCGTATTCGAACCGTATTGGATCTAAAAAGAACCCTATTGGAACCGTATTGGAACCGTATTGGAACCGTATTCGAACCGTATTGGATCTAAAAAGAACCCTATTGGAACCGTATTGGAACCGTATTGGAACCGTATTCGAACCGTATTGGATCTAAAAAGAACCCTATTGGAACCGTATTGGAACCGTATTGGAACCGTATTCGAACCATATTGGATCTAAAAAGAACCCTATTGGAACCGTATTGGAACCGTATTCGAACCGTATTGGATCTAAAAAGAACCCTATTGGAACCGTATTGGAACCGTATTCGAACCGTATTCGAACCATATTGGATCTAAAAAGAACCCTATTGGAACCGTATTGGAACCGTATTCGAACCGTATTGGATCTAAAAAGAACCCTATTGGAACCGTATTGGAACCGTATTCGAACCGTATTCGAACCATATTGGATCTAAAAAGAACCCTATTGGAACCGTATTGGAACCGTATTGGAACCGTATTGGAACCGTATTGGAACCGTATTCGAACCGTATTGGATCTAAAAAGAACCCTATTGGAACCGTATTGGAACCGTATTGGAACCGTATTGGAACCGTATTCGAACCGTATTCGAACCGTATTCGAACCGTATTCGAACCGTATTCGAACCGTATTGGATCTAAAAAGAACCCTATTGGAACCGTATTGGAACCGTATTGGATCTAAAAAGAACCGTATTGCAACCGTACTGGAACCGTATTGGATCGAAACGTTTCAATGAGTAGAATTCTGGCAAGCTAAACGACTGCTGAACGATCTCTAGATCTCTAGATCTCTAGATATTTCTCTTATTTCTGTCCCACTTGTCGTATTTGGCTCTCCCGGTCCAACCATCACCGTCAACGTTTTCCCATTATGTGTCAAGAGCGCTTTCGCTGATCCATTTGGATTACACGAGAAATTCACGATTCGATGTCCGCCACCAAAACGGGTTTTCTGAAAAAAATTGATTAAGAAACTCTAGAAGGGTTTAAAGCTATAGTAATCAAATGTTTTATTGGATCAGCAATTTAGGCATCAGGACCAGGATCAGCAATTTAATCTTACTGCCTTGGATACTGAATAGCTTTGAACAGAGCCAAAATCAGACTCTCTAGAGTAGGAGTCACTGATTAAAGGTTTCACCTGGTTTCTGGCTGACTGAGGAACTGGCTAGCTTCTGGCTGACTCAAGAACTGGCCAAGATCAAGCCAAGATCAAGCCAAGATCGCAGAGCCGATCGCAAGATCAGCCAAGATCAAGCCAAGATCAAGCCAAGATCAAGCTAAGCCTGGCTATAGTCATCGTACTTACTAATTAAAATATTGTTCATGTGTATTTGAGCTTTTTCTAGGTTCAGTTGGGGAATCGAATGATTTGTAGGCGAGGCCCAAAGCCGGATCCTCGTCATCTAGTTACGAATCGATTCAAGCCTAACCAATTGTCAAAAGTTCGACCTATTCTACTGAGTAAGGCTAAGCCAAAGCCAATCTGGATATCACACTAGAGTTTTTAGAGTTCGGGTTTTCAATTTTCACTAAAATATTTGTACTCGATGTGCACTGCTGGGAGTTCGTGCTTATTTCAAAAAATTGGCAAGATCCATTTGATTCAAATGGCGTTTTTTCTCTTATCTGGATATCACACTAGAGTTTTTAGAATTCGGGTTTTCGATTTTCATCAAAACATTTGTACTCGATGAGTACAGCTAAGAGTTTGCGATGATTCCGAAAAATTAACAAGAGGAATTTTCTTTGAAATGCGTTTTTTCTTTGGTCTGGATGTCACACTAGAATTGCCACGATTCGGATTTTCGATTTTCATCAAAACACTTGTACTCGATGACTACAGCTAAGAGTTTGCGATGATTCCGAAAAATTGACAAGAGCAATTTTCTTTCAATTGCGTTTTTTCTCTTATCTGGATATCACATAGATTATTCGATTTTCATTTTCATCAAAACATTTTATGTGATATGTTGGATTGATTTTTCTTTGAATGTTTTTCTCTTATCTGGATATCACACTAGAGTTTTTAGAATTCGGGTTTTCAATTTTCATCAAAACATTTGTACTCGATGAGTACAGCAAAGAGTTTGCGATGATTCCGAAAAATTGACAAGAGCTCTTTTATTTTCATTGCGTTTTTTCTCTTATCTGGATATCACTCTAGAATCTTTAGGATTCAGCTTTTCGATTTTCACCAAAACAGATTTGTACCCACCTTCAGCGTTATCGTGTGCGCCGTCTTGAACTCTAGCGCCAGCGTTCCGCCGTTCGTTTTCTCTTTGTACTTTTTGCTGAAAGTTTTTGCTGAAAGAACAGTAAAAGAAAATGCCTTTTACCTCAACGTTGTCAAGAATTCGGTTTTAAATGGCGTTTCGAGGAGTGACGTGTAATCTTCTCTCACGTAAAGGATCACAAAATCGTCTTGATATGGAGAAAGGCCGATTGACTGGATTCGATCGAGGGGGATTTGTCTGAAGGTCTTGCATAAGCTATGGATGCCGTAGATCTACAGGAATCTACAGTAATCCTCTCTACAGTAATCCAGAGTTATCTACTATATATAAAAGTGTCTGTCCGTCTGTCCGTCTGTACGGTCGAATTTTCGGCTTCCCGTGGATCGATTTCTATATTTTTTACTTTGTTAGGCTTAGAATTCTACCTATTTGTGTTTCATATTTCATTTCTCTAAAAAACAAAGGTCATGACACAGTCGGGAGTCGAACCCGACAGATCTTCGCCTCATCTGTGAGCTTTAGACAAGCGCGCTACCGACTGCGCCAGGGAAGCAACGGCGACCGACTAGAAAAACCCGATGTTAAGCGACCAACGAAGCTTTTTTAGCCACGGATTTTAGCCAAGTTTAGCCATAGATCATTGATAAGACCCTTTTTTTCCTCCTCAACAAGCGGTCTCGTGGTGTAGTGGTTATCACATCTGTCTAACACACAGAAGGTCGGCGGTTCGATCCCGCCCGAGATCATTTTCCCATTTTTTTGCAACAATAGATTTTTAAAAATATAGAAGCTGTTGGAGATTGTCAGGATTGTTTCAAAAGTAATTTCACTGGTCCAGAGCTGGTCCAGAGCTAGCTCAAAGCTTCGATCCGGCCCGAGATCATTTTCCCATTTTTTTTTGGTTTTTTAAACGTTCGGGAAGTGTTTTTATTGCAGATTTTAGCTTTTGCATTGTTTTTAGTCAAATCAGAGACTGGGGAAAGCAGTTTTTGAAAGCAAAAAAAGCAAAAAAAGCGGTTTTTGTCCTTTCTTGTGCGACTCTCAAGTAACTTTTGCGGGGATTTTTGTGTAAACTTTCAAAAGCATAGCCGCTGAGTAGTATGGGATCAATTTTTCAGGTATTTAGCTAACGCTTCGCCATGCTCTGCTACTTAAATGCGTCTTTTGTTGATATGAAATGTGCTTTTAAATTTGGATTTTGCTGTCATGCAAATTTTGGAATAGTTTACATGGTTTAATGCGTTTATAAGATGTGATTTGGGATTATAGGGAAATTGGCGAGTGCTAGAATTTGTGGATATCGTTTTTTGGGGGCTTAAGAGCTTAGGGGTTAGCGTTTTTCACTAGAACTTTTGCGAGAAATAGGAAAACAAGGCTAGAACAAGACGTAGTTCGGTAGACGTTTTGCAGAAGTTCTGTAGAAGCCCTGTAGTTCTGTAGAAGCTCTGTAGAAGCTCTGTAGTTCTGCAGAGGTTCTGTAGAAGCTCTGTAGTTCTGCAGAAGTTCCGCAGAAGCTCTGTAGTTCTGTAGAAGCTCTGTAGTTCTGCAGAAGCTCCGTAGAACCCCAGCTTAGTTTTTGCGCTCTGCTTCAACTGTTTTTATCGTATAAATCTTGTTATGCAAATTTTTCAAATGCAAAATCGAAAATGATCTCGGGCGGGATCGAACCGCCGACCTTCTGTGTGTTAGACAGATGTGATAACCACTACACCACGAGACCGCCTGGTGGGGGAGGAAAAAAAGGGGCTTATCAATTTTCTGTGGCTGAAGCTTCGTTGGTCGCAGGTGGCTTTTTCGATCATGAATAGTCAAATCACAAATCAAGCAGCTGCGTCAATGTGACCGCTTGGCCTAGTGGTTAGTGTGCTTGGCTTCAGCTCTATGCCTCGCGGGTTCGAACCCGGTTGCAGACATTTCTTTGCTTTTTGTGTTTACGGATGTAGAAACTTTAACTAAACAATTTTAGGGGACTTTTTGGAAAATATATAATGCAAAATGAGTTGTTTATTTGAGAATTTGATAAGAGTTTGGCAATTTGATAATTTGACAATTTAACGCAAAATTGGAGCTGAATATCTTGGGGAATTTCGACAGTTGATCTAGATATTCGGAATTCTTTTCTGACAAATTAAAGCTTCAAAGCAATCCAAAACAAGTAAAGATTAATCTAAAATTGAAAAAAAAAAAACTCCAAAAGCTTTGCAGGCTAGAGATAATTTCCAATAATCAACTCTAGGATTTGTATTCGCTGCTCAGAACTTCGGCTCTTTGACCATGCTACTCACTGGCACTCACTTTGACCATGCTACTCACTGGCACTCACTCAGATCGATTGAACTCAAAATGGGCAATTTGTGCTTCACTCATTCTCATTATTCTATCCCTAAACGATCTAGAGTATCGGAATTCGCGTAAAAAACTGCAGTAAAACGGGATCTAAGCTCAAAAGCATCCCTAGTAAGTGACAAATCAGATAACTTTCATTCTGTAACAAAAAGATAACAAAGAGTTGATTTACAGAGCGCTAAAACGTAGAAAACATCATTTTTGAGCTTTCTGAGCTTTTTTGAGCTTTCTGAGCTTTTTGAGCCGTTTAAAACAGCATCCTTAGTGGCTAAAAAGGGCTAAAAGTGGCTAAAAACATCCTAAGATCTTCATTCTTTAACAAAAAGATGTTAAAGTTGCTTTTTTATAAAGTTCACCTCTTCAACACCTCGACCAGTTGCCCCTTTTGCGGTCCTTTTGCCACTTTTTCACGTCCAATCAAATTCAGATGTTTTGCTGTGATGATCATGTCCAATTTTGATATCTAAATCATTCTTGATATCTAAATCATTCTTGATATCTAAATCATTGCCCAATTTTGATATCTAAATATCTATCTAAATATTTATCTAAATAAAGAAAAAGATATCTAAATATATGAAAAATCTATAGCTAGAACAAATCAAAACTCGTCCGCCGCCGGGACTCGAACCCACGACCTTTCGCTTGCCATGCAACAGTGCTAACCATTACACTACAATGCAGTTGATTCCCTTACTCCAGAGGGAGTTAGGTTCCAGTTTTCGAAAAAAATGGAAAAATGGAAGTGGAAAAACGACGCCGCCGGTTATGGGGCCCTTTTTAATTCCTGAGAAAAAGGGCCGGGTGGTGTAGTGGATAGTGTGCTCACCCTCCGCTCTGCCCCACCCTGGTTCGAATCTTGCCACTGCCGCAAAATCTTTTTGTTTTCTTTTTAAAGCACTAGAATCGATTTCTAGGTGTTTATGTTTATGTTTAAAGCGTTTAAACAGTAAGAAGGGCTCCTGGAGATGGCTGAAAACAACTTTCCGTGGCAAACAACAACAAAAACTCGAGACCATCTTCCCTCCGACTCTTTTGAGCAATAACTTTCTTCTAAATGGGCCAATCTCTCTGATTTTTGTGTCATTTTGTAGATCTCAACAAGTGCAACAAAATAACACCAAAAGAAGCCAAAGAAAGTTGCCCCTGGCCTTGCCTGGCTTACAGGCCTCTAGGGCCAACCTAGTCTAGCTTTGCCTGGTTGACAAGCCTCTAGGGCCTACCTAGTCTAGCCTGGTGTGACTTACAGGCCTCTAGGGCCAACCTAGTCTAGCCTGGCGTGACTTACAGGCCTCTAGGGCCTACCTAGTCTAGCCTTGCCTGGTTGACAAGCCTCTAGGGCCTACCTAGTCTAGCCTGGTGTGACTTACAGGCCTCTAGGGCCAACCTAGTCTAGCCTGGCGTGACTTACAGGCCTCTAGGGCCTACCTAGTCTAGCCTGGTGTGACTTACAGGCCTCTAGGGCCTACCTAGTCTAGCCTGGCGTGACTTACAGGCCTCTAGGGCCTACCTAGTCTAGCCTTGCCTGGTTGACAAGCCTCTAGGGCCAACCTAGTCTAGCCTTGCCTGGCTGACAAGCCTCTAGGGCCAACCTTTTGTTTATAAACAGTAAGAAGAGCTCCTAGAATAGGCTGAAATGGCTGAAATCACTGAAATCACTTTTTTCTTTTTCAACTAGATCAAAAACTCGTGCTGGGACTCGAACCCACGACCTTTCGCTTGTCAGACAACTGTGCTAACCATTACACCACAATGCATTTGATTCCCCTAGTTTAGAGTTAACTATACCTAGCTTTTAAAAAAGGCTAAACACCTTAAAACGTCGATCGTATTTGTTGCACGTTGTGGCGAAATCGATCCGTTCGCGTTTCCCGACAAGAACCTGAACGATTTGAAGATTTGGAGATTAATTTCCATCTTAATCTCCATCTAATCAATAAATAGCTAATGCAAATTACTTGTAGAGCTGGATGATGTTCGATTCCAATGTAATCCCCAACGAAATTTCGATTCAATGAGAAACGACGACGCTCCTTTTTCCCGTACAATAAATCGCTGGCTTGCTCCTGGAAAAGATTAGAGATTTAAGTATTTCGTTCTCTTCTATTACCTAGTAGACAGCTATCTAGATACCGTAGCTAGTATCCTACCGTAGCTAGTATCCTACCGTAGCTAGTATTGTACCGTAGCTAGTATCATACCGTAGCTAGTATTGTACTGTAGCTAGTATTGTACTGTAGCTAGTATCATACCGTAGCTAGTATTGTACTGTAGCTAGTATTGTACTGTAGCTAGTATCATACCGTAGCTAGTATTGTACTGTAGCTAGTATTGTACTGTAGCTAGTATCATACCGTAGCTAGTATTGTACCGTAGCTAGTATTGTGCCGTAGCTAGTATTGTACCGTAGCTAGTATTGTACTGTAGCTAGTATCATACCGTAGCTAGTATCCTACCGTAGCTAGTATCATACCGTAGCTAGTATCATACCGTAGCTAGTATTGTACCGTAGCTAGTATTGTGCCGTAGCTAGTATTGTACCGTAGCTAGTATTGTACTGTAGCTAGTATCATACCGTAGCTAGTATCCTACCGTAGCTAGTATCATACCGTAGCTAGTATTGTACTGTAGCTAGTATCATACCGTAGCTAGTATTGTACCGTAGCTAGTATTGTGCCGTAGCTAGTATTGTACCGTAGCTAGTATTGTACTGTAGCTAGTATCATACCGTAGCTAGTATCATACCGTAGCTAGTATTGTACCGTAGCTAGTATTGTACTGTAGCTAGTATCATACCGTAGCTAGTATCCTACCGTAGCTAGTATCATACCGTAGCTAGTATTGTACTGTAGCTAGTATCATACCGTAGCTAGTATTGTACTGTAGCTAGTATTGTACTGTAGCTAGTATCATACCGTAGCTAGTATTGTACTGTAGCTAGTATTGTACCGTAGCTAGTATTGTACTGTAGCTAGTATCATACCGTAGCTAGTATCCTACCGTAGCTAGTATCATACCGTAGCTAGTATTGTACTGTAGCTAGTATCATACCGTAGCTAGTATTGTACCGTAGCTAGTATTGTGCCGTAGCTAGTATTGTACCGTAGCTAGTATTGTACTGTAGCTAGTATCATACCGTAGCTAGTATCATACCGTAGCTAGTATTGTACCGTAGCTAGTATTGTACTGTAGCTAGTATTGTACTGTAGCTAGTATTGTACCGTAGCGATAAAACAACCCAGCAACAAAAGAGTTTATTAATTTAAAAGAAAGAGAAAACTTTGGCAGCACGGGGAATCGAACCCGGATCTTGTAGGCTGTAGGCGAGAGCCCTCCCGACTGCACCATGACCACATAGCTAGAAGCCAGAAAAACTCGCTGTTAACCCTTGCTTTTAGGCCTCACTGTTATAAAACGGTAGTCCATTCCCTTCCCCAACCTCAAAACCCCTTTTTCCGATCGCCCTCCCACAGCCGCATTAGCTCAGTTGGTAGAGCGTCAGACTTTTAAACGGAAGGGTATCTGAATGTCAGGGGTTCGAGCCCCCTATGCGGCTAATCATTTTTAAAATTTCTTTTTTTTTTAGGGAATGCTTTGCTGGGGGTTTTTAAAGGGTTTTCTAATAGAATCTTGTGAATTCAGTGCACTAGGAAGGATGCGTTTACGAGTACGAAATTATTTTCTGGGGTTCTTGACGGGTTTTCGAGAAGATTTTTTTGGTTTTAGCTCGTTTTAATGGATGGAATTGGTTTCTAGCAGTTTTTGGGTGAAAATTGGCTCTCTGATAGAGCCTTGGCTCTCTAATAGAGACAAGAATTCTATCCGACAATATGAGGCCGGAGAGAGCCAGACTGCTGCTATGCACAACGATCCAAGGGTAACGTTAAAAGCGATTTTCTAAAAATCTGATCAATCCAAATTCTTACATGATATCCAACTAAGATAATCCCAAAGTTTCCTTAAAATCCGTCTACTCAAAAAGAAGTTAATAGGGCGAACAGGTTCCAGGCAATTCCTCCCCCAACAACCAAAAACAGACCAATCCAAATTCTTACATGATATCCAACTAAGACAATCCCAAAGTTTCATCAAAATCCGTCTACTCAAAAAGAAGTTAATAGGGCGAACAGGTTCCAGGCAATTCTGCTAATCACTTTTTAAACGGAAAGCAATCTGAATGTCCGGGGTTCGAGCCCCCTATGCGGTTAATTGCTTTTGAATTTTTCTTTTCTTGGGAATTCTTTGCTGGGGGGGGGTTTCTTAAAGGGTTTTCTTGTAGGAAAAAGAATAATCTTTCGGATGCATTCTCTTAGAAAATCCCAAAATCCACCTTCATCTTGACATGATGTCTCCTAGCATTGTGTCTTCTCCACGCTTTCTGGATTTTCCTTGCGAAACCATCGTATTTCCTCTCGCGTACCTCCTCCAGCAAGAATAGCTGTAAAGTTTCGGTTTGAAATGCTAATTTGAGGGATTTGAGGGCTTGATTTGAGCGATTTAAATGCTAATTTTCGGCTTTAAATGCTAATTTGAGGGCATTAAATGCTAATTTGAGGGCCCTGAAGGCTATTTGAGGGCCTTAAATGCTAATTTGAGGGCCTTGAAGGCTATTTGATGGCCCTGAAGGCTATTTGAGGGCCTTAAATGCTAATTTGAGGGCCTTGAAGGATATTTGAGGGCCCTGAAGGATATTTGAGGGCCTTAAATGCTAATTTGAGGGCCTTGAAGGATATTTGAGGGCCCTGAAGGATATTTGAGGGCCCTGAAGGCTATTTGAGGGCCCTGAAGGCTATTTGATGGCCCTGAAGGCTATTTGAGGGCCCTGAAGGCTATTTGAGGGCCCTGAAGGCTATTTGAGGGCCCTGAAGGCTATTTGAGGGGCCCTGAAGGCTATTTGAGGGCCCTGAAGGCTATTTGAGGGCCCTGAAGGCTATTTGAGGGCCCTGAAGGCTATTTGAGGGCCCTGAAGGCTATTTGAGGGCCCTGAAGGCTATTTGAGGGCCCTGAAGGCTATTTGAGGGCCCTGAAGGCTATTTGAGGGCCCTGAAGGCTATTTGAGGGCCCTGAAGGCTATTTGAGGGCCCTGAAGGCTATTTGAGGGCCCTGAAGGCTATTTGAGGGCCCTGAAGGCTATTTGAGGGCCCTGAAGGCTATTTGAGGGCCCTGAAGGCTATTTGAGGGCCCTGAAGGCTATTTGAGGGCCCTGAAGGCTATTTGAGGGCCCTGAAGGCTATTTGAGGGCCCTGAAGGCTATTTGAGGGCCCTGAAGGCTATTTGAGGGCCCTGAAGGCTATTTGAGGGCCCTGAAGGCTATTTGAGGGCCCTGAAGGCTATTTGAGGGCCCTGAAGGCTATTTGAGGGCCCTGAAGGCTATTTGAGGGCCCTGAAGGCTATTTGAGGGCCCTGAAGGCTATTTGAGGGCCCTGAAGGCTATTTGAGGGCCCTGAAGGCTATTTGATGGCCCTGAAGGCTATTTGAGGGCCCTGAAGGCTATTTGAGGGCCCTGAAGGCTATTTGAGGGCCCTGAAGGCTATTTGAGGGCCCTGAAGGCTATTTGAGGGCCCTAAAGGCTATTTGAGGGCCCTAAAGGCTATTTGAGGGCCTTAAAGGCTATTTGAGGGCCTTAAAGGCTAATTTTCGGCTTTAAATGCTGATTTTCTGCTTTAGATCCTAATTCGAGGGCCTTAAATGATTAAAATCCATTAAAATTCATTTAAATTCATTCAAATCCATATAAATCCATTCAAATCCATTCAAATTCATTCAAATCCATTCAAATCCCTTCAAATCCATTTAAATCCACTCATTTCAATGCCAATCCTTTACAAACCGATTCCGGATTTTTGATGAAAACTTTCGAGCGTCCCATTTGAAATTGATCTGGATCGAGCTTCACACTGCGACAAATGATCTGAATTTGAATTGAATTCATTTGAATTTTGTCAGTTTATACCATCATTCATGCAAAAACACAGATCTTTCAATTTATTCTCGAAATTTACGAGTTTACGGCCATTTTCTTAGTCATCTTTTGACTAATAAAGCTAAAAATTCTTTAGAAAATCTTAGATTAACAATATAGTTCGCTGTTATAAAACAGTAGTCCAGTTATCAATTCCCTTTCCCCAACGTCAAAACCCTTTTTCCCAGACCCCTCCCTCGCAGCCGCATTAGCTCAGTTGGTAGAGCGTCAGACTTTTAATCTGAATGTCAGGGGTTCGAGCCCCCTATGCGGCTTTTTTACATTTCTCTTTTTTTAGGGAATTCTTTGCTAGGGTTTCTTAAAAGGTTTTCGAGAAGAATTCTTGATTTTAGCTTGTTTTAATGGATTGAATTGGTTTCTAGCAGTTTTTGGGTGAAAATTGGCTCTCTATCAGACGATATGAGGCGGGAAAGAATCTGGTGTCAGTCACAATGATCCAAGGATAACGTTAAAAGCTATTTTCTAAAAATCTGTTCAACCCATATTCTTACATGATATCCAACTAAGACAATCCCAAAGTTTCATCAAAATCCGTCTACTCAAAAAGAAGTTAATAGGGGGAACAGGTTCCAGGCAATTCCTCCCCCAACAACAAAAAACTGACCAACCCAAATTCTTACATGATATCCAACTAAGAGAATCCCAAAGTTTCATTAAAATCCGTTTACCCAAAAAGAAATTAATAGGGTGAACAGGTTTCAGACAATTTTTCTTGATTTGAGCTCGTTTTAGTGGGTGGAATTGGTTTCTATTAGCCAGAGTAGATATTGACAGCCAGATATTGACAGTAGTCTGGACTACTGTCAGACACAACGATCAACGGGTAAGATCAAAAGCGATTTTTTTGAGGGCCTTAAATTTTCTAAAAATCTGACCAATCCAAATTCTTACATGATATCCAACTAAGGCAATCCCAAAGTTTCATCAAAATCCGTCTACTCAAAAAGAAGTTAATAGGGGGAACAGGTTCCAGGCAGTTCTTCCCCAATAACCCAAAAAAAGAAAACATTAAAATCTGACCAATCCAAATTCTTACATGATATCCAACTAAGACAATCCCAAAGTTTCATTAGAATCCATCTACTGAAAAAGAAGTTAATAGGGTGAACAGGTTCCAGGCAGTTCTTCCCCAATAACCCAAAAAAAGAAAACATTAAAATCTGACCAATCCAAATTCTTACATGATATCCAACTAAGACAATCCCAAATTTTCATCAAAATCCGTCTACTCAAAAAGAAGTTAATAGGGGGAACAGGTTCCAGGCAATTCCTCCCCCAACAACCAAAATCTGACCAATCCAAATTCTTACATGATATCCAACTAAGGCAATCCCAAAGTTTCATCAAAACCTCTTTACTCAAAAAGGCTTGGTATTCGCTAGAACAACAAAATCGCCCTTCCCCAATATGAAAATCCCTTTTTTCCGATAACTCCCTCGCGGCCGCATTAGCTCAGTTGGTAGAGCGTCAGACTTTTAAACGGAAAGCTATCTGAATGTCAGGGGTTCGAGCCCCCTATGCGGCTAATCTTTTTTTTGAATTTTTTCTTTTTTCAGCAGATTCTTTTCTCGAGTTCGTGACGGGTTTCTTAAAGGGTTTCTAATAGAATCTGTAGAACTCAGTGCACTAGAAAGGATTCGTTTACAAGATTTTGAGCACAAAGTACATAGAGGTCAGTCAGAGAGTCAGAGAGGTCAATGGTCAATGGTCAATGGTTCAGCTGATTTTTCTAGTCCAAAATAAACAATCTAAACTTCTTTTCTTGTAATTTCTTGTAGTCTTCTTGTAAACGCAGAGGATCTGGTGCACAAGAGAGAGCATTTTTGCAGCAAAAGAGCTCAAGAGAGATTTTTTTGTCGATTTCCCACCTCGCATCCCTGTTTTGGATCTCCGCGATATGTGGGCCATGTCTGTTCGGTTAAAATGGCATATCTGAATTTGTAAAGAAGTTACAGCGCTCATTTACAGCTTTCTAGATTTCTATAGCTCTCTATAGCTCTCCATAGCTCTCTATAGCTCTCTATAGCTCTCTATAGCTCTCTATAGCTCTCTATGGCTCTCTATAGCTCTCTATAGCTCTCTATATCTAGCTTTGTTTGATCACACCTCCACAGAAATTTCTCGAACGGTCGTCGATATGCGTATCCAGCTCGTCGCACTCGAATATTCTCCTTTAGTCCCAAATAAACGACCTGGTGATGGACTCTGAAAAGGAAATGAATTGATTAAATCGCTTTTTTAATATAATAAATGATTACTCTTTCTTGGCGAACACAAAGAACACTAGTTCTTGAAAAAAAGAAACGAAGTCACGGGAACTTTATTTTACATTTTTAAGGCTCAAGGTTAATAGGAATCATGATTGGAATCAGACCATTCGAGTTCAAACCAATTTCTCTTGAAACTCAAACGATTTTTGGAAATTGAATCAATTTTTCGTCAATCTGGAAGTCACGGGAACTAAATTTTACATTTTTAAGGCTCAAAGTTAATTGGAATCATGATTGGAATCAGACCATTCGAGTTCAAACCAATTTCTCTTGAAACTCAAACGATTTTTGGAAATTGAATCAATTTTTCGTCAATCTGGAAGTCACGGGAACTAAATTTTACATTTTTAAGGCTCAAAGTTAATTGGAATCATGATTGGAATCAGACCATTCGAGTTCAAACCAATTTCTCTTGAAACTCAAACGATTTTTGGAAATTGAATCAATTTTTCGTCAATCTGGAAGTCACGGGAACTAAATTTTACATTTTTAAAGCTCATGGTTAATTGGAATCATAATTCGAATCAGACCATTCGAGTTCAAACCAATTTCTCTTGATACCCAAACAATTTTTGGAAATTGAACCAATTTTTCGTCAATCTGGAAGTCACAAGAACTAAATTTTACATTTTTAAGGCTCAAGGTTAATTGGAATCATGATTGGAATCAGACCATTCAAGTTCAAACCAATTTCTCTTGATACCCAAACAATTTTTGGAAATTGAACCAATTTTTGGTCAATCTGGAAGTCACAGGAAATAAATTTTACATTTTTAAGGCTCAAAGTTAATTGGAATCATGATTGGAATCAGACCATTCGAGTTCAAACCAATTTCTCTTGAAACTCAAACGATTTTTGGAAATTGAATCAATTTTTCGTCAATCTGGAAGTCACGGGAACTAAATTTTACATTTTTAAGGCTCAAAGTTAATTGGAATCATGATTGGAATCAGACCATTCGAGTTCAAACCAATTTCTCTTGAAACTCAAACGATTTTTGGAAATTGAATCAATTTTTCGTCAATCTGGAAGTCACGGGAACTAAATTTTACATTTTTAAAGCTCATGGTTAATTGGAATCATAATTCGAATCAGACCATTCGAGTTCAAACCAATTTCTCTTGATACCCAAACAATTTTTGGAAATTGAACCAATTTTTTGTCAATCTGGAAGTCACGGGAATTTTATCTTACATTTTTAAGGCTCAAGGTTAATTGAAATCATAATTCGAATCAGACCATTCAACTTCAACCCAATTTCTCTTGAAAATGAAAAGATTTTTGGAAATTGAACCAATTTTTCGTCAATCTGGAAGTCACGGGAACTAAATTTTACATTTTTAAAGCTCATGGTTAATTGGAATCATGATTGGAATCAGACCATTCGAGTTCAAACCAATTTCTCTTGAAAATGAAAAGATTTTTGGAAATTGAATCAATTTTTCGTCAATCTGGAAGTCACGGGAACTAAATTTTACATTTTTAAAGCTCATGGTTAATTGGAATCATAATTCGAATCAGACCATTCAAGTTCAATCTAATTTTCTAGTTTATAGTCTATTTCTTGTTGTTTATTGTCTATGATTAGCTTTATTTGTCTATTGTTAGTTTGGGAAACGTTTTAGGAACGAAAAGCTTTGTTAGCTTTGTCTTTGAAAGCTTTAAAGTCTTGAAGGTTGAAAGTCTTGAAGCTTTAAAGTCTTGCAGCTTTCAGCTTTAAGTTCAGCTCTAAGTTCAGCTTTAAGTTCAGCTCTAAGTTCAGCTTTAAAGTTCTCCACAAGCCACCTTTCTTCTTCCCAATCGCCGGCTTTCTTTGTCTCATTCGGTTTTATACAGCGAACGTAATGCGGTGTGCATTTCATCAACGATGAGACTAACTCATTGGCTTGGGTCTAGAAAAGTTTGTTTTACGAAAGAAAAAATCGCCGAAACATACTCGAATCTTTATGGAAACGGTCGTCGGGCGTTTCCCCTGTTGGATCTGATCCGGGAAAAGATTTCTAGCGAATTGACTAAAAAATATAGTAAATACTGTAACGTTAAACGATTCCTTTAACTCACTTATTGCTTTGTTGCATTAGTTGAATCAAATCCGAGTAGAGAACGTCACGATTTCGATCGCAGAAACCATCAATACTGTAGGTGACCTAAGGGAGATTTGAAATTGATTTGAAATTGATTGATTGACGTCAGATTGATTGCTTGATTGATTGATTGCCAGGTTCGACTTGGTTACAAGGTTACGGTAGCTTTCTACGGATTACGGTAATCCTAAAGGATCCTGAACGGTCCTAACCTATCCTGAAGGGCCCTAAAGGATCCTGAAGGGTCCTGAACAGTCCTAAAGGATCCTGAAGGGTCCTAAAGGATCCTAAATGATCCTAAAGGGTTCTGAAGGGTCCTGAACGGTCCTAAAAGATCCTGAAGGGTCCTGAAGGATCCTGAAGGGTCCTGAACGGTCCTAAAGGATCCTGAAGGGCCCTAAAGGATCCTGAAGGGTCCTGAACGGTCCTAAAGGATCCTGAAGGGCCCTAAAGGATCCTGAAGGGTCCTGAACGGTCCTAAAGGATCCTGAAGGGCCCTAAAGGATCCTGAAGGGCCCTGAACGGTCCTAAAGGATCCTGAAGGGCCCTAAAGGATCCTAAAGGATCCTAAACGGTCCTAAAGGGTTCTGAAGGGTCCTGAAGGATCCTGAAGGGCCCTGAACGGTCCTAAAGGATCCTGAAGGGCCCTAAAGGATCCTGAAGGGTCCTGAACGGTCCTAAAGGATCCTGAACGGTCCTGAACGGTCCTAAAGGATCCTGAAGGGCCCTGAAGGGTCCTGAACGGTCCTAAAGGATCCTGAAGGGCCCTAAAGGATCCTAAAGGATCCTAAACGGTCCTAAAGGGTTCTGAAGGGCCCTGAAGGATCCTGAAGGGCCCTGAACGGTCCTAAAGGATCCTGAAGGGTCCTAAAGGATCCTGAACGATCCTAAAGGATCCTGAAGGGTCCCAAAGGATCCTATATTTTCCCAGAATTTAATCAATTTCAAAGTAAACCATCAAGATTCGATAAAACAACAAAATTCCCTTTCCCCAACCTCAAAACCCCTTTTCCCCCTAGCCCTCTTACAGCCGCATTAGCTCAGTTGGTAGAGCGTCAGACTTTTAATCTGAATGTCAGGGGTTCGAGCCCCCTATGCGGCTAATAATTTTTTTCATTTTTCTTTTTTTAGGGAATTCTTTGCTAGGGTTTCTTAAAAGGTTTTCGAGAAGATTTTTTGATTTTAGCTTGTTTTAATGGATTGAATTGGTTTCTAGCAGTTTTTGGGTGAAAATTGGATCTCTATCAGACACTAACTCTATCAAACCATATGAGGCCAGAGAGAGACAGACTGCTGTTATGCACAACGATCCAAGGGTAACGTTAAAAGCTATTTTCTAAAAATCTGACCAATCCAAATTCTTACATGACATCCAACTAAGACAATCCCAAAGTTTCATCAAAATCCGTCTACTCAAAAAGAAGTTAATAGGGGGAACAGGTTCCAGGCAATTCCGCCCCCAACAACCAAAAACTGACCAACCCAAATTCTTACATGATCTCCAACTAAGAGAATCCCAAAGTTTCATTAAAATCCGTTTACCCAAAAAGAAGTTAATAGGGTGAACAGGTTTCAGACAATCTTTCCAAATTCGGATTCGATGCCGCATTCTGGAGCACTAAGCTGTCTTAGGGTCAAGTAACAGTAACAAGTAAAAGAGTCAAAGTTGTTCAAAAAGTCAGGAACAGGATCCCCTAGCGCTTGTAAAGTCAAATCTCTTAAACTCACATTTCCCGCATAATGTCGAATGACGAACGAGTCAGCGCCGGTGGCAAAATGCGGGTGATGAGCAACGGATTTCGAGAGAGTCGACAACAACTGAATAGCTTTATTTTGCGATTTAATTTGCGATTCAATTCGCTATCTGTTTTTTAAGTTCTTAAATCTTTGCTAAAGCGCTAAAATGCAATTGGACGGAATCTTTTAATACTTTTTAGTCAAATTTTTGATTCAACTGTCTTAGCCGACCGGATAATCCTATCCAGCTGAATCAAATCAGCTAAGACAGCTGAATGAAGTCTTGTCTCCTAGTCCGGGGGTTAAGGGTTCGATCCCGGCGGCTGATTGCTTCTTTATTATCGGTTTTTTTCTAAACAACATTTGGGTAATAGGAGTTGCAATTGATTATAGTCGTAATACCGTATTTTCTCCAATAGTAGTGCACCCGGGTGCACTCCAATAGTGCAGGTATGGGTCTACCTCGAACCCTTCCCCACTTCAGTCTTCAAGGATCTCGCTTGAATATTTACTTTACTACCACCAAGATCTGCACCGATGGAAGCTCCAGCTGGACCCACGCCCAAAGCCTACAACGCAAACCACCGCGACCCTCTTGAAGGAAGGCGAAGACCTCTTGAAGCTCCAGAAAGCTTCAAAAAGCTCCAGAAAGCCTCAAAAAGCTCCAGAAAGCCTCACAAAAGCTCCAGAAAGCCTCAAAAAGCTCCAGAAAGCCTCAAAGAGCTCCAGAAAGCTTCAAAAAGCTCCAGAAAGCCTCACAAAAGCTCCAGAAAGCCTCAAAAAGCTCCAGAAAGCCTCAAAAAGCTCCAGAAAGCCTCAAAAAGCTCCAGAAAGCCTCTTGAAGCTCCAGAAAGCCTCAAAAAGCTCCAGAAAGCCTCAAAAAGCTCCAGAAAGCCTCAAAAAGCTCCAGAAAGCCTCACAAAAGCTCCAGAAAGCCTCAAAAAGCTCCAGAAAGCCTCAAAAAGCTCCAGAAAGCCTCAAAAAGCTCCAGAAAGCTTCAAAAAGCTCCAGAAAGCCTCACAAAAGCTCCAGAAAGCCTCAAAAAGCTCCAGAAAGCTTCAAAAAGCTCCAGAAAGCTTCAAAAAGCTCCTCTTTTGCGACCAGGCGGGCATTGCGCTCAAGTCGGCAACGGTCGGGTATAAGTGGTCCGCGCCATCCATTTTCAGGGCTGGACATCACGGGAACTTTATTTTGCATTTTTAAGGGTCTTTTTAAGACATTTTTGCTTAAAAGGGCTTAAAGTAATGACAAAGATCAATACAAAAGAAAGCAGAGGTTTTTTTTGATGATTTTAGACTCATTTTCTATGATAATGAAGTGAGAATTTTGATATAAAGTATTTAATCTATAATATTGAATAATTAAATAGTTTGATCGGCCTTTAAACTTTTGAAAGTTTATCGGAAAAAACTTTAAAAAAGATTGAAGAAAAATTTCGTCACTCTTTTCCCCTCCCCTTTCACCCCTTTCCCACAAAACCCCTTTCCCGTCGCGGTCTCTCCAGCGGTCTCGTGGTGTAGTGGTTATCACATCTGTCTAACACACAGAAGGTCGGCGGTTCGATCCCGCCCGAGATCATTTTTCCATTTTTTTTTTGCAACAATAGATTTTTAAAGATATAAAAGCTGTTGGAGATTGTCAGGACTGTTTGAAGAGTAATTTCACTGGTCCAGAGCTGGTCCAGAGCCAGCTCAAAGCTAGCTCAAAGCCAGCTCAAAGCTGGTTTCTAGCCGGCCTGTCAATTCTAGCCAATCCTTTCCCTGTCTAATCTGTCAGTCCTCTCCAAATCTCAACTCCAGCGTCAAAAGTTTTCAGCTTTTGTTTTTTAATCGTTTTTTAATGTTTTTCAATGTTTATAAAGGTTTATAAGGGTTTTATTAAAGATTTTCGGATGTTTTTAGCCACTTTATAGCCTAAGAAACGTCAAAAATGCTGTTTTCTAGGGTTTTTTGCGTCTCTCACCTGCGTATCAACTCCTTCCGAAGTGCCATGATTCTGTGCACACGTATCATCCAATAATGACATGATACCTGCAAAAGAAATCATTAGAAATCATTAGAAATCATTAGAAATGATTAGAAAGCCTTAGAAAGCCTTAGAAATCATTAGAAATCATTAGAAAGCCTTAGAAATCATTAGAAATCCTTAGAAATCCTTAGAAATCATTAGAAATCATTCGAAATCATTAGAAACCATTAAAAAGCCTTAGAAAGCCTTTTCAGAAAAATTCAGAGGAGGTTCACAAAAGTCGCTTTATGGAAAATTGACTATTCTAAATATTCTAGCTTTACTTATGAGGAGAGACTTGCTTTTTTTGAACTAAAAACTTTACAGCATCGTCGCTTTGTCATGATTTAGTCCGAAACTTTCAAAATCCTCCGTTGTAAACAGATTAGCCCTTTGTTTATAGACTTTTTCAAATTTAAACCGCGGTCAGGGCCCAGAAGTGGCTCATTCCTTTTGCAAATTCCTTTGCTTTCCAATGCCTCTTTATCAAATTCATTTCCCGTTAGAGCCGCTAGATTATGGAACTTGCTCCCAAACGACATACGAGAAATTCAGTCGCTTTTCATATTCAAGAAACGTATCGATGCTTTAGATCTAGTGGCTCTTTGCCGTAAGTAATTGGCTTATTGATTTCAGTATGTATTGTATGATTAAGTATCACTGTGCATTTCTCTATGATTTCTTTCACTTTATCGTTTGAATAAAGTATTATTATTATTATTAGAAATCTTTAGAAATCATTAGAAATGATTAGAAAGCCTTAGAAATCATTAGAAATCATTAGAAATCATTAGAAATCCTTAGAAAGCCTTAGAAATCCTTAGAAATCATTTGGAAATCATTAGAAATCATTAGAAATGATTAGAAAGCCTTAGAAAGCCTTAGAAATGATTAGAAATCATTAGAAACCGTTAGAAATCATTAGAATTCCTTAGAAATGATTAGAAATGATTTAGAAATGATTAAAAATTATTAAAAATCATTAAAAACCATTAGAAATCTTTAGAAATCTTTAGAAATCATTAGAGATGATTAGAAATGATTAGAAATGATTAGAAATCATTAAAAATCATTAAAAACCATTAGAAATCATTTGGAAATCATTAGAAATCATTAGAAATGATTAGAAAGCCTTAGAAAGCCTTAGAAAGCCTTAGAAATCATTAGAAATCATTAGAAATCATTAGAAATCATTAGGAAATCATTAAAAAGCCTTAGAAATCATTAGAAATCATTAGAAATCATTAGAAAACCACCGAACAGAAAGCCTTAAGTCATTGAAGCCAAGCCTTAGAAATCATTAAAATCAGAAAGCCTTAGGAAAGCCTTAGAAATCATTAGAAACCATTAGAAATCATTAAAAATCATTAGAAATCTTTAGAAATCATTAGAAATCGAAATCTCGATCTTTTCTACCCATTTCTACATCTAAATATGTGAATTTGAGTATAAAAAAACGAGCCTGGCGGTCGCTTTTCCTCGATCAGCTCGCAAACGATTTTATTATTAAAATACTCGATTTCCGTCCATTTTATGCCTTCCTAAATTCGAAGGATTTATAGAAAACAATCATTTTTTTTGGCTCTACCAATTGTAGCTTTCTTTTTAGCTCTACCAATTGTTGGAAGATTGGATGATACCTCAACAATTGGATGATAGCTCTACCAATTGTTGATAGAGCTTGAATGCTTGCTGCTGCTGCGTGCTTGAATTCAAAGATGTTTTAGCATTTCTGCAGAATGCAGGAAAATCAAACAAAAGATAGATTTGCGCGCTAGATGCTTTGCGTTTACAGAATTCAAGCACAAAATGCAAGCACAAGCATTATTTCCCGGCATTATACCCGGATTATTCCCGGCATTATTCCCCCCAGCATTATTCCTGGCTGAAGTGGACTTATTAGGGAAATTACTTAGGGAAATTGGGCTTGAAATCAAGTTGGATGGTCAAGAGCAGGGACTAGTTCAGGACCAGGTCCAGAACCAGATTCAGATCCATGTCCAGGTCCAGAACCAGATTCAGATCCATGTCCAGGTCCAGAACCAGATTCAGATCCATGTCCAGGTCCAGAACCAGATTCAGATCCATGTCCAGGTCCAGAACCAGATTCAGATCCATGTCCAGGTCCAGAACCAGATTCAGATCCATGTCCAGGTCCAGAACCAGATTCAGATCCATGTCGGGTCCAGGGTCCAGAACCAGATTCAGATCCATGTCCCCACCCGGGTCCCGAACCCGATTCAGATCCATGTCCAGGTCCCCCCAGACCAGTTCAGTCTCGCCAGGTCCACGGCAGATTCAAGATCCATGTCAGGTCAGAACCAGATTCAGATCCATGTCCCGGAAGTCCAGAACCAGATTCAGATCCATGTCCAGGTCCAGAACCAGATTCAGATCCATGTCCCCCCAGGTCAAGAACCAGATTCAGATCCATGTCCAGGTCCAGAACTAGATTCAGATCCAATATCCATGTTCAGGTGGTGATTTAGAATCCATGTTCAGGTCCAGAACCAATTCAGATCCATGTTCAGGTCCAGAACCAATTCAGATCGTATTCCGTTCAGGAAGCTTCAGATTCAGATCCATGTCCACGTCCAGAACTAGATTCAGATCATATCCAGATCCCAGAACCAGCCTTGGCTTCATTTAGCCTCACCTGGCCCTGAACAACTCGGCACAGAGCATGGCGGTATTTCCCGGCATTATTCCCAGCATTTCCCCAGCATTATTCCCGACATTCCCGGCATTTTCCCAGCATTTCCCAGCATTACTCCCGACTCTATTCCAGCGCATTTCCACCTTTACATATTCTTCTTGCTCAGCTTTCAGCGTCAATTCGATGAAGATTTGCTGTAGTTTTTCGTTCACATAATTGATGCTAGAAACAGGGTTTTCTTTTCTTAAAAATGCTTTAGCTATTCACCAAAATTGTTCGAAACAAATTATGATCAAATATCTCAGAAGCCGTAAATATCAAAATGCCAATCGAAACGAATTTGATGAGGCAGGGATCTTCATTGCGTCGTTCCTGATTGCACTAGAAAATGAGAATTATAAAGGTGACGAAGAACCGGAACAACGTCGTAGAAGACGCAGAATTACCGCAAAAACCTCGTATTATATTATGAAATACATTTTCTTTTTAGATCTCAAAGTCGAGATCCAACGCCTATCCCCACCAAAGCGAGACATTTATGGAACTCGAACGCTATGAAGCTCTGAGCACAGCCTGATCCGGTTCGGGTCTACTGATCGCCTGGAGAGGTTCAAAAGAACAGCGCTACTCCATTAATGTCAAAGAAGAGTGCGCGATCGTCTAAGATTAGACTTCAACCTAGAGCAGAAACATTCCACCGTACGGCAATGTTCTCAGTGGCATAAAAAGCTAACTGTAAAACTCGATCGTAAATCAGCGACCTTTCCTCAGAAGTATTAAATTTCAAGAAAACAACAAAATTCTCTTTCCCTAACGTCAAAGTCTTACCTCCCTAGGCGGCCTCTCGCAGCCGCATTAGCTCAGTTGGTAGAGCGTCGTTTTAAACGGAAAGCGATCTGAATGTCAGGGTTCAGGCCCCCTATACTGGCTAATCCTTTTTTACATTTCTCTTTTTTGAGAATTTCTGCTGGGGTTTTGTTAAAAGGTTTTCCGGAAGAGTTTTTGGTTTTAGCTCGTTTTAATGGATGGAATTGGTTTCTAGCAGTTTTTGGGTGAAAGTGGCTCTCTGATAGAGCCTTGGCTCTCTGATAGAGATAAAGGGTCTATCCGACAGCCTGGGCGGGGAAAGACCTGGTGTCAAATCCACAGCAATCCAAGGATAACGTTAAAAGCTATTTTCTAAAAATTCGTTAAATTCAAATTCTTACATGATATCCAACTAAGATAATACCAAAGTTTTATTAAAATCCGTCTACTCAAAGAAGTTAATAGGAGACAGGTTCAGGCAATTCCTCCCCCAACAACCAAAAAACTGACCAATCAAATTCTTACATGATATCAACTAAGATAATCCCAAAGTTTTATTAAATCGTCAAAAGAAGTTAATAGGGTGAACAGGTTTCAGACAATTCTTCCAACAACCAAAATAGAAAACTAAAACTGACCAATCCAAATTCTTACATGATATCCAACTAAGACAAACCCAAAGTTTCATCAAAATCCTTCTACTCAAAAAGAAGTTCAATAGGGTGAACAGGTTTCAGGCAATTCTTCCCCAACAACCAAAAGGAAAACATTAAAACTTGGAAATCTCTTCTATTACCTAGTATAGACATCAATCAAATAAGTACCGTAGCTAGTATTCTTGGCCCGGATAGCGACAAAAAACACAACCCAGTAACAATAGAGTTTATTAATTTAAAAGAAAGAGGAAAACTTTCGCGGGACCGGGGTCGAACCCGGATCCTGTAGGCTTTAGGCGAGCGCTTTCCCGACTGCACCATGGCGACATCGTTAGCAAGGAGAAAAACTAGCTGTTAAGCCTTGCTGTTAGGCCGCACTGTTATAAAAATGTTAGTCCATTCCCTTCCCAACCTCAAAACCCCTTTTTTTCCGGAACGCCCTCCCACAGCCGCATTAGCTCAGTTGGTGCAGCGTCAGGACTTTAAAACGGAAGGGTATCTGAATGTCAGGGGTTCGAGCCCCCTATGCGGCTAATCATTTTTTGAATTTCTCTGTTTTTAGGGAATTCTTTGCTGGGGGTTTTTAAAGGGTTTTGCAATAGAATCTTGTAAATTCAGTGCACTAGAAACGATGCGTTTACGAGATTTTGAGCACAAAGTACAGAAAGGTCGGGGAAGGTCGAAGAAAATGGAGTGGAGATCGAAATGGAATCAGGGAATTCTTGTTGAGCCGCCCTGTAGATCGATACTGTTCTACATTTTGCAATCTCTACCGCTTCTGTAGGTGAATGGATAAGGATTGTCCAGCTTTTAGAATGGATAAGGATTTTCCTGAGGGCAAGGACTGGGTGTAAAATAACTGGTTAACTGGTAGATTTAGTTTCTCTGGGATGTACGGCAATTCGAAGAGATCCTTCCTGATCGAGCCAACGTAATTTCTACAGCCTAGTCCACAGTAAGCCTACAGACTCAGCCACAGTAAGCCTACAGCCTTATCCACAGTGTCCCTTCAGCCTAGCTTCACAGTAAGCCTACAGCCTAGCCACCGTAATCCCACAGCCTCAGCCACACTAAGCCTACAGCCTCAGCCACCGTAATCCTACAGCCTAGCCACCGTAATCCTACAGCCTAGCCACAGTAATCCTACATCCAATCCTTAGCCATCTAGAGATCTAGAGAAAATAGAGCTTTTAGCGTCTTAGCGGTTATCGTGGAGGAATTTCTAACCGTCGTCAATCGATTCTCCGTGTCGATTTACATAGGACACGTGAGCTAAAAATTTGATTTAAAGCTTTTGCAGCTAAGGCCAGAAGAGCTCAAAGTTTGGTTGTGACGACTTTTTTCGCGAATCTCGAGTTTTCTTCAATATTAGGGAACCGTTAAAGCTTATCGGGTAATCATAAAAAAGCTACCGTATTCAAAAAAAGCTGCCGTAAGCTGCCGTAATGACCTGGCTGTCATGATTCTCTACTCTTTTTAAGTTTCTGAGTATGGTAGCGCGAGAATCCACTGAAAATCCTAGTTCATAGTACGATTTACCGTATAAAACATCGAAAATAACATATAAACTCGACTTTCAGCCCCATAAATTTTCTTTTTTGAATGTAAATTGTTTAGCGGCTTCTGGACGAAGCTGTTCTTTTCAAAACGCGGGAAATCTTTCTCGAAACTCTCTCGAATCTTTCTCAAATCTCTTTCTCCTCTCTCTCTCTCTTTCTCTCTCTCGAACTCACCAAGAAAGTCGAACACTTTCGAGTAAATCGATTTCCACCCATGCATCCCTTTGTGTAATTCGCTTGCTCCACATTCAATTGTATATTTATCGTTTCTGGTTTATTTGCCCAACGAGATTCCATTCGTCTAAACATAATCGTTTAGGAAAATCTTTCATTTTTAGGCTGAAATGAAAGCACTCCTCACAAAGCACTCCTCACAGAGCACTCCTCACAAAGCACTCCTCACAAAGCACTCCTCACAAAGCACTCCTCACAAAGCACTCTCACAAAGCACTTGGAACAAAGCAGTGCTTATCCTTTCAAAAATCAAAAGATTCCCAAGTCTCAGCTAATAAATGTTGTATACTATTAAAAGCCCTGAATTTTCTCTGACAAAATCAGAAAAAAGATTTTGAATTCGAGTGATTGTTGGGGAGTTGGGTGTTAAAAGTAACTGCTGGGATTAGACCTGGGCCAATGACACACAGATCACCAAACGAGCTCTGAGAACCTGAGAACTCTGAGAACGACACTGAGCTCCTCGAAAGAAACCTCCTAGGGCAATAAGATAAAGACGCACTGGATCTAAGAAGTACGGACATGCGCCAGCTCTAGAGACTCAGCCTTGAGACTCAGCTCTTGAGACTCAGCTCTAGAGACTCAGCTCTCCAGACTCAGCTCTTGAGACTCAACTCTCCAGACTCAGCTCTAGAGACTCAGCTCTAGAGACTCAGCTCTAGAGACTCAGCTCTAGAGACTCAGCTCTCCAGACTCAGCTCTAGAGACTCACATAAGTGAGCACTGCTTTCATCCCCATCACCCAAATATTCAAAAGAATTTTTTGCTTTTAAAAGCTTCTTTAAAAGTACAAGTACAAGTAACTCAAGTACAAGTTCAAGTAACTCAAGTACAAGTACAAGTAACTCAAGTTCAAGTACAAGTAACTCAAGTACAAGCACAAGTAACTCAAGTACAAGTACAAGTAGCTCGAAGTAATAAGTACAAGTAGCTCAAGTACAAGTAACTCAAGTACGCATACAAGTAACTCAAGTTCAAGTACAAGTAATCCTCAAGTAATAAGTTACTAAGTAACTCAAAAGTACAAAGTACAATATTTCTGTTCGATATCTTGAGAAATTTCGAAAATAGTAAAACGCGCATTCATGACTGGGACAAGCCAATGAAAATCGAGCTTTTTTCTCCCACCTTGTCGTGAGTTTTTCCTTGATCAAGCCCTATGGTGAGTCCAAGCAGAAATGTGGGGAATTTCCTGAGGACTAAAAATGAGTACCGTATTTCTCGACTAGAAGACCGGGTAAAAGAGTATGATCAGGTAGTTTTGAGGTAGCAGTTTTTCTTTTTTGTGTATTCCTTTTTCAAAGGCAATAGAGTTGGAAAATGACTCAAAAATAAGCACATGAGCCAACAGATTTTTGAGCCATTTTCCAGCTCTATAGCACTTGATTGAAAGCTTTTATGCAGAAAAGAAATTTTTTAGGAAAGGGTTGCTACGCAGGAGTTTTAAAAAGGGGCTGCTACAGCAGGAGTACGCGATCATACTTTTTACCCGGTCTCTATTCAAAGAA